GGGGGCTGGCGCAGCACCGGGCAGTGTTTCGTTCTGCGGTATGTGGGGTCGCTATGAGTCAGAGATGGCTGGACGGCACCTAACAACAACAACCAGTGCTGCTATAACAAAAATGCCGCAAGTGGGTGGTTGTGGACAACAAAAGTTTATTGTCTCACAGTTTAGAGGCTGAATTGAGGGTGTCGGCGGGGCTATGCCCTGTCCAGTCTAGAGATCATTCCTTGTCTCCTCCAGTTTCTGATGACCCTTGTCTTGGACGTGGATCCTTACATGGGGTCTTCCCCTGTTTGTGTCTGTTCTCCCCTTTATGAGACATCACTCAGAAAGAAATAGAACCCACACTCCATCAGCATGGTCTCATTAATTTACCAACGACAGACCGTGTTCTCAAACAAGGTCATGTGCACAGGTACAGGGGTTAGGACTCCAACAAATCCTTTTGCAGGACACAATTCAGTCCATAACACCAGTCAGTGAGGCCCATTGTCTAATGAGAAAGGCACATATCCAACTATTCAAGGAATTATCTAACTACAGTGGTGACACTTAGCTCGGAGCGACATTAGATTTTAAACAAACACAGCTCACAATAGCAGTCGATAACACAATGGAATGTTTACTTCTCCCTCACGCAACAGCTCAGTCCGGTTATCCCAGGTTGGCCGTTGGAGCGTTTTCTTAGGTGATGCGTTCATCCAGGATTCTTCCAACTCTTGGCTCGGCCATTTCCCAGCCCCGATGTGTGTCATCCCTGAATGCTGACATCGCAAAAGTGAGAGAATAGAGATTGAAGGTACGGCAGCTCCAAGCTGTGAGAGCCTGTGGAACCAGGCCAGGAAGGAAGGCAGAGGAGAGGAAGACAGGGGCTGCAGGGAAATGGGCTCCCTGGTGAATGACGAGGGGAGAAGAGAGATGTAAGAAAGCATGGATGAGGTGTCGGGAGTATCAGGGTCAGACATGCAAGCAGACCCATGGAGGCAGAGGCTAACAGACCAGAGGGGGTGCAGCATTACTGCTGCTCCCAGTAGGCTTTTGTAAACATCTTGTCTGGGCCTTCCCCCTCCCTGCCCCCACTGCCCCAGGGACAGCCTCCTCACTGGGTGCATCCCCGGCACACAGCTTGTGGAGGGCTCGGGTCTCTTTGGAGCTCCAGATATCAGCCTCCTCGACTGGAGAGATCCTCCTGGGCCTAGAGTCCAGTCTTTCCAAAGGGCGCCATCTATCTCCAGCCTGTGCCTGGAGTCCAGTTTTTCCAGAGGGCGCCATCTTGTCTCCATCCTGGGCCTGGAGTCTGCTCCCTCTGACTGGCACCGTCTTGCTTCCATCTTGGATCTGGAGTCTAATCCCTCTGACTGGCGCCATCTGGTCTCCATCCCATGCAGCCACATTGAGATCGGCACTGGCTGTGCCAAGCTTCCGCCAGAATCACCACCAGGATCAGCAAGACCACACCAGCCAGGCCAATGCAGATAGAATTCTTCACAGTGTAATTTTGGGAGGTAGGGGCTGGAAGCAGGACAGTAGGGTCACCGACAGGTGGACAAGACCCCTCCCAACACTAACTTCTGAAACAGGAGCTCCTTCCCCACTTTCCTGGCCTCACGCTACAGTCCAGTCCGGTTATCCCAGGCTGACCATTGGGATGTCTCCACCCGGCGCTTTCCCCTGGGCACAGTTCCAAGTGGCTTATCTGTCTGGGGTCCTGCTTCTGCACATGAAGGGCTGATGTCACTGGGGCCTCCTAGGAATCAGAAAGGGCTGAGGCAGCCTTTTCTTCAATTTCTCGGACTCATTTCAGCTTCCCGAGTACTCCCCACGGCCTTCCCTTTAGACGCTTGCTTTTGCACCCGCCTCTCCTGGGTCCCTTCTCCCACTGCCTTCCTTGAGTGCCCCTGAGACCCTAAGGTTCACCCCGTACCCAGCTCTCACAAGCAGTCAACCAGAGGTAATGGGAGGCAGGGCAAAGACGGAAAATTCAGATCTTCCCTAATCAAACTGAGCTTCTTTATCTAGGGCAAATCATCTTACCCCTGTATCTCGGCATGCAAGGAGACATCACCATGTCATGAGTGTCTGCCCTACCAACTGCAAGAAGCCAGGGCCCCACTTTCTCCTTCAGTGCAGGGGCAGAGACCCTGGCCCCTGACTTGGCGACGGTCCCTCGAGTGCTCCCAGCCCTGACCTGGCTGTCCTTCTGCTCTGCCTCACCTCATCCCAGCCCCTCTGACTCCCGGTTCAGTGTTTGTATTTCCCCAAACCCTCCCCTAAAATACCAGCATCTGAACATCTTGGAAAGAAATTAGGAAGATGTTGATATTGGGACACTCCTGTTTCCCATAATTCTACCTAGCAGATGTCAGTTTCTCTCTCTGGGTTCACTAGTCCCTGTTGTGGTTAAGCATTGGGATACTTACCAAAAGGTCAGCGGTTCAAACCCACCAGCCACTCCACAGGAGAAAGATGAGGCAGTGTGCTTCTGTAAATATCTACAGCCGTGGAAACCCTATGAGGCAGGTCTGTTCTGCCCTATAAGGCTGCTGTGAGTTGGAATTGACTCAATGGCAGTGGGTTTGGGTTGGGTTTGGCTCTAAAACCAGGGCAGAGGGCTGAATGCAGAGTCTAGCCTCCAGCACAGGGACCCCTAGTAGCCCCCACCCAGACTGAGATCTGTGCTACTCGCCCGCTGAGGACTGGGGCTCCGTGGGCGGGAGGCTGGAAGCACCAGGGGAATGGGGAAAGGAGATGGGTTGAGAGCTTCTCTGGGGGCTGCTAAAGGTCTATCCCACTTATCCCGGCCCTTCTCTCCCTGAGCATGCATTCCAAGACCCCATATGGACATCACTCAATAACAGATCATAGCCTAAGACACCTGAGAATATGGGGCTGTGGAACTGGAGCTACGAGAGAGACACCCTGTGTCACCCTGCAGAGGGCTAGTCACCTCCTCCGTGCCCTCATTTCTGGACCCTTCTTCACCCCCAGTCGCGTGTGCAGGAGGATGGGCCTCTGACCTTGGACCTGTGAGACTCAAAGCTCTGAACCCGGGCACGTGGAGCTGTGGACAGAAGTCACAGCTGGGGAAGGTGGGAGACGAGCTGGCATCTTACTCCAACGGCCTTGACGGCACAGAACCAGCTCAGATCACCGATGGGAGGCCCTGGGGCAGTAAGCATTGGGTTGGAACCACCACCTCACTGACGGACTCCAGGGACTCGCAAGGGCCGAGCACACACAGGGCCATGTTTGTCTCACTCCATAGGCTCCACCAGAGGACTGTCCACTGCTAGACTAAAGGGCCATCCCTGGACAGTGTGGCTCTGTCCAATGGAAGCAATGGATTGCAGTGCAAGACAGCGTCGCACGGAGCCACGATGATTCTGGTCAGTTTAAGGGCACATTCAACAGACCAGCTGAGCAAACAGATGCACATTCCTTTGAAGGGCATCTGTCCGGCAACTGATCTCTGGACAGAGGAACCAGAGGGAGCTGGGAACCTATTCCCCAACCCACGGGGCAGTGCCCAGCCCTGTCACCCTCCAGCAGCTGGAGTCCAGATCTTCCATAGTGTTCACGCAAGACCCAGGTCTCCAGGGAATTCAGTGGCGCCTGAAGGCAGAGGGGATACATGTGCTGAGGGAGAGAGAGCCATCATATGTGACAGGAAGGTCAAGGAGGAGGTCTGTGGAGACATGGCGGTGCTGGGGACAGGACCCAAGACCTGAGAACAAACATGAGGAGGTGTCTGAGATGGAGGGGGGGATCTGGGTGGCTCCTCACCTGTCACCACCAGCTTCAGAACCTCGCTGCGCTCAGACCAGACATCGCCTGTGTAATAGAGGCAGCAGTAATGCCCTGCGGTGTCTTTGGTCACCAAGGAGATGGGGAATCTGGCCTGTGTCTCCGTTCCCGAAGAGTTCTTCACATACGGATATGAGGATCCTCCATCCTTCTCCAGCCGGAACACATAATTTCCGGGAGGGCCCCGGCACACAAAGGTCACACACATCCCCCAGGGGATTACGGAGCCCGGCTCAGCTGAGATGGAGGGTCTGTGCAGGTTCCCTGGGGAAACAGAGCGGACATTCATTCAATGCACACTCGTGGCGAAACCTCCACTCCACGGAGTCCACCCGTTTTTAGCCGTACAGTGCAGTCACTTGAGGAAATGTACGGAGTTGTGCAACCACCACCGCAACTCAAGCTCCGAACATTTCCATCTTCTGCAAAAGGCCACCCACACCCATTCCACGGCCACGTGAACTCTCGCCACTGCAGACCTGTTCTCTCCACCTGACAAGAAAGACACCGAGACGTGGTCACAACTTGGGCCTTGCTCAGTGCCACGCGGGAGGCGTGTGTGTCACTAAGCCACCCCAGATCCCAGGCATGTCTCTGAAGAGCCCAGCTCTGTCCCTGCCCAAGGCCACTCTCCAGGGGACAGCGAGGAGAGGGCGAAGGCCAAGGGTGAGGATGGCAGGACGTTCGTGGAGACCCCGTCAGGGATAGGAGGAGTCTGGGATTGCAGAGGCCAGTCCCCACTAGGATTGTGTGAGGGTGGAGAATGGTTTGTAAAGCTCTCGGGGGATCCCTAGGAGGGGTGTGGGTAATGCACCCGGCGCAGGTGTGGTTCCCAGAAGAAATCCATCAGAAGGGGCTCTAAGGCACAGCTTCTGTGGAGGGATCCTCTCTGGGTTTCCCTGTGTCCTTTCTACACCCATCTGAGCCTTGTTTGGACTTCTTGATTTTTAAGCCTCTTGAAAAACCCCCGTGTGTCAACTTGGCAGAGGAAGTTAGGGGAGAGATGGTGTAAAGCCCCAATACAGGAAGATTGTGTCAAAATTAGCAAAATCCGAGGGGCAAGAGCAAGACTGACCCTGGCCCCAGACGGCGGGGTGGCCGGATGTGGCTGAGAAAGTTCAGGGCAGATAAAGGAGAGTCTGAGGCTCCCTGAAGGTGAACCTGGGAGGGCTCCGAGGACAGAGAAAATTGTGCCTTACAATCTAAGATGAAAAGAAGTGAAAAAATAAATAAATGAAACATTAAATATGAAATAAGTGAAGAGTAAATTAAAATAAAAGGAAAGAAATGGAAAATTAAAAATAAATGAAGTGAAATCTAAAAATACATGAATAAAGAAGGAAAAATATAAAATAAAGGAAAAAAATAGTAAATTAAACAGTTCACTGCAAATAAAATGACCTTGGGGGTAGACAAGGGAGTGAGTGGGAAGCAGGCAGGGATGGACGGTGGGGGCAGAGCCGCCAAGGGCAATAGCAGCCGTGGATCCGAGAGGCAGAGGTGCCCTGGAGGGGGTCGGGGAGACAGTGTGGAGACAAGACCCGAGGAAAATGGAGGAGGTAAGACCCCATGCTTTGGGGCGGTGTCACACGGGGCAGGAGGGTGAACACGGGCTCTGGGATGGGTCCCCAGACTCTGCCCTTTGGGGCCGTAGCATTCCCTGCCTAGGGGACGCCCAGGGCGGTTCTGGCTTGTGTGCAGAGAGGTCAAGGCCAGCTGTGGGCGTGCTGGTTCGGAGCTGTCTTTGGTGTGTTAACTGGAGCTACTAGGAAGGTGCAGCCTGTGGTTGGTGCAAATGGTTGAGCACTTGGCCACTTACTGAAAGGTTAGTGGTTCGAGTCCACTCAGAGCCACCTCAGAGCCTTGGTGGTCTAGTTCCCCAAAATCAGCCGTTGAAAACTGAAGAGACCAGTTCTACTCTGACGCACCTGGAGTCGCTCACCATCATCAATTCGCATCAACTAGCTCATGACTAGTTTTTTGGTTTTATTATTTTTTACTAAGGCAGGTGGAGAACAGTAGAGAGAATTGAGCTAGGGTTTTACATGGGGGGTCAGTTGCAATTTGGGGACTATTTAAGGATCTCTCCCCAGTTTCTCCCAGAATCAGTATCACTCTCAGCCAACAGCTGTCCTTGGGGTAGATAAGGGGCTGGGAAGTTGAACACATGACTCACCGTGTTGTGCTTGGGTGGCTGGTCCCAGGCAGGGCGCTGGAAGAGAAGCCCCAGTGAGAAAAACGCCCACGGCCCCGTTTCCTTACAGGGCAGCTGCTGAGGGACGTTTGACGGGGAATGGGAAATTGGCCTGGTAGCTGTTATTCTTGTTCTTGATAATCGCTGTCAGAGGAGTCCAAATCGTAGCGACCCCACTGTGCAGAGTGGGACTGGTCCATTGATTGCCCACAGCAGATCAACAGACCTGTTTTCCCACGTGCCCCTGGGTGGTTTCCACTGCTAACCTTTCAGCTACTAGTGGAGACAAATGATTTGCACTACCTGGGACCTAAGAGTGGATTTCACTTCTCATAAATTTGCCATCACTTTGCAACATCAATCTGACTATTTAATCCTTCTGGCCCTGACATAGTTTCAAGACAAACCCCCAGTTCCTCTCTTCCAAATG